TAGTCTTACTCTTCTTTGAGAAGGAGGCAGAAATATATTTTAAGTCTTTGAGGATGTAAATCCTAATGTTCAAACTTCTTTTTTTTTTTTTTTTCCTTTTTTCCCAAGGTACTGCAACTGTTCTAAGCAGAACTTTACTCCAGTTGGAGCGCTCGTCTCACTCTTGAAGTGTTCTCATTGTTTTTCTGCAACTCTGAAAGCAGAAAACATGTTTGTTCTTCAACTGTTAAATTCTTATAATTGTTTATCCTCAAAGTGGAAGTCAAATACTGCTCAGAACTGTGGGCTGAATTGCCAGTAACCTGATTTCCACAGGAGATGGTCCACTAATGAGATGTTGAGGACAGTTAATTTTGATTTCAAAGTTGGTACTCTAATACTGACCTCTAATATAGGTGTCTAAAACATTTGTTCTCTCCAGGGCTTGGATCTACAACTGCAGGGAAAAATTCTCCTTTTAAGCCAGTTGTATGATAGCAACTTCTGCCAGCGTGTATAGAGTTGGCATCAATACTCTTTAAATTTAAGCTTGTATTGTATTTCTGTAGAAACTAGAGATTGTAATGAGAATTAATTGCTGTCCTCCTCCTGTCCATCCAGATGTTTGCTCAGCTGTTGTGGGAAAACTTCTTCACTTAAGCAAATGCTGTGAAAAAGAACCTGTGAAATGGATGCGATACATACGCAGATTTTTTTTTTTTTTTTTTTTTTTTGCGGTAGCTCAGCTTAACATTTGTTATGAGAAAACTGTGTAAAAAAGCCACAGCACTGTTTTTTCATTTGAATATAAGGCCAAACAAGTAGATCTATACAAACCTGTATATGAAAAACTTCTGACACCATAAGACTTCTAAGTCCCAAACATCCCTTCTTCAGGTGTTTGCAGCTTGTGTATAGAGGGTTGCACTAAGAAGTTGAATTACTCTTTAGTTTGCTCTGAGCACAGAGGGATATCTCTTACAGTACATGGCAAATCACATGGATGAGAGGCTGTTTGAATTTTGCTGTTGAACTTAGTGGAGCATTAAGGTGAGTAACCGGAATTGCATGCCATGCTTTGGGGCACGGGGAAAGAGAAAAAAGCTTTGCTATTTTGTGAGTACTTAAGATCTGCCTGTGAAGTGGGATGTTTTGTGATGGCATATAAATGGCATTGGTATGAGCTGTGGGCCATACTAAACAAAGGTGGGTAAAATCTCTGTGTCTAGTGACCCCTGTCCATTCTAGGATTGTGCCTACTCTGCGATTGAATCCTGCTTCAACTTTACCATCAAGGTAGTCACAGAATTACTGGGCTGCTTGATGCCATATGCGAATCAAATAATGGATTCCACAAATACCAGGATTTCATTGCTTTCCTGGTTCTAACTTTCTGCAAGTAAAGGCACTTGAGCAAAAAGCACAACTGATGCCTCTGCCCAGCATCTAGATTTCCTGTAGGTGGCTTCCCCCTCTACTGGGACTTTCCCATTGTTTGGAAATGGTGAATATAGGTGGGCGGATCCTGGTTCCTTGGAAAGCCCTCTCAAGCCTGTGCTTGTTTCCTTCTGTGAAATAGAAAGAGGTGGTGTTTTTTCTGACACTCATTGCTGTTGTCTTCTGCAGCCTCTAGGCACTCAAGACTGACGAAATAGGTAGTCTCTTTACAGAAATTTTTTAAGGATAGAATTTGGTTGTCTTGAAGCAGACTGAGGGGAAGAGGCTCTTTACTGGTACCATAGGCTCAGCATAGGCAGGGATATGATAACGTTGCGCTGCTGAAGGTCAGGTTTCTGTTAATCCTGGTTGATGTACAATGTCAGAAATCTTTTGAAATCAGGGTGGGTAGGAGCAGGGGAAACCTTTGCAGATCAGCACGTTGAAAGTCAAGGTTGTTGTTACTGTGATGATGACAAGTAGATCCTCAATTGGTAGATGGAGGCCTGCTTTCCTTTGGCAGCTTTTAAAATTTGGTGCAGACCATGTGTCATCTCATCCAGTCACAATTACGTGTCTTGTCACTGATCAATCAGAAGACTGACCTGCTGACTTAGCTTTCACAATCATTTCTACAGAGGTGGCTTAATTTCTGGTTTAAAAATAACTCATATAACCCTGGAGTTTGGTTTTTTGTTTGCTTTGTTTTGTTACTGTACTGGTGTGCTTACACAGGACCAGAGAGTAGTGGCCTGCAAGCTGTAAAGATTTGTTTCTTCATTATTGGAAGAGTACACAGTGCAAGATTTCACTCAGCTTTAAAACTATAAAGAACACCAGTGCTGTTCTCCCAGCACAGATTCTGCAAGTTAACAGCAGTACAGTTACGTGAAGAGAATTACCATATGTGCAAATGGTGAGCGTAGGCTGGAATGGTATGTAATATCAAACACATCTCCAGTACGAAAGTGGAGATGCTTACTAGCTTGTTGATGTTGTGCAAGAGATACAATGGGGACGGCTCTTCTTTTCAAAGCAATGTTCCAAATGCTGTTTCATTACATCCAAAGCTTAATAGACGGAGGTGGAGATGAGGGTTGCCTCAGATAGTCCGTTGCCACTGATCATCTTTGATAGCAGGTCTGTGAAACGTCAGCGTTTCAAAGTGACTTCACAAACTACGTGCGCAGGATGAGTACTGCATGCTCATCTTAGAAATGTCACTGGATTTTAGGACGGCCATTAGCACTCCCATGGAAAGAAAACAGACTGATTTGCCTCTCTAAACTTTAGCATCTGCTTGCTGACAATTAGCATTGATTTTCCTTCCCTTCTGCACAACTCTGCATTCGGGAGGGGGGGGGGAAGAAAAAAAAGTTCTTATGCTTTGAAGTCAAAACCCAGCAAACCCAAAAATATGGAGTCCAATGAATGATTTCCACACAACATTAACGTCTTTAGTTTCACACCTAGAGTTTTCCCAAGATTATAAATTCACCTTCCTAGTCTTTATGCTCACTATATTTCCTACTAATTGGAATCCAGGGTTCTCCAGAGGGTTGGCACTGCCTTGGGGATCTCATCAACATCCCTTCCCAAGGGAGTTAGTGAGATCTGCATTGTGGTGAGTGGAGAAGCTTCTGTGAAATAGAAAGCTTGGTTTAAATGTCCTGGTTTAGCACTGGTGCTGCGCAGTTGTTGGATGCATTCTGTGGCTTCTGGCCTCAGTAAGGTGAGCTGGGTCTTCCAGTTAGCTCATCTGTCCTGCTGTGTGAATAAGATGCAGGGTAGCAAGATGGTGGAGGATGATAAGGATTTGAGTGAATCAGCAGGCTCTTGTGCGAAAGAAGGCATTTAAGCTCATCAGCTTGAACTGTCATTAACTCCACGAATTGGGCTGTGAGGAACTCCTCATCTGGAGTGGTGAATTTGGAGAAAATGGCAGACTTCCAGCTTTAACAGCTCCCATTCCATTTATTCCCAATAACTGGGAACATGGTTCTCTTTGTTCAGAAAGACATTGTCTCAGGACAGCTGTTTTTCCTCAGATGCCTTTCATCCAGTCCCATAATGCTGCTGCTCAGGTTTGGAAAATTCTGCAACTTCCTTATCAGTAATGTGCTCTTACCTTGATCTATACACTGTTGAGTTTAGGGCCGTTACAGCCCCAGTTTCTCAATCTCAGGTCCTTTGTCCCAACAACAGGCTTTGAAGTTAGAGATTAAGTACTTGCTTGCAGCCTGTCATCACTCATCGTCTGTGAGGAGGGTCATTAAGCTCGTTAGGACACTGATAAATCTATGCTACACAGTCACCACTGCTGTGGCCATGAACAGGCTTGTTTCTAGCAAATTCCCTAATGCCGATTCAAGCAGAAACGCCCATTGCCTGTGTGCAGCACGTATTCTCATTTCACACCCTCCCATGTACCCACCCCTAGGGACTAAAAATTGTCTGGTCTGTTGCTACTGCTACTTCTCTGGCCTTAGCTCTGGAACAACATTCTCCCCATTTGCTGGAGAGGGGGATGGCAGGAATACTGAAGGGAAGTAGTTTTTCTGTGACCTTGAAGTGTTAGCTCTCCCTTACCAGCTAGGGCTGCTAACAGTTGCTAGCCTTTCCTCAGCAGGTTGCATGTGTTTTAAGCTTTGTGCACTCATAGATAGTCATGAATATGACTATGTCATGTGTCTGTGACTGTAACTGCAGAATGAATACTTCTGACTATATATTATACATGTTGCATATTTCAGCAGTGTGTGAAAAATAAGTATCTTGAAATTAGAACAGCTATTGTGCACACACAACTACTGTATTGAGAGGGATTGTACTTTGTCTTCCAGGAAGTTGGCACTAGAGTTTTCAATAAAAATGTAAATGATACTACATATTCAGTTGTTACTGTGATTGCCTGAATGCAGTTATAGGTTTGTTAGGAAAAAAGCAGAAATAACTTATTTGCAGTACTTACCTGAACCAAGGATTTAATTTTTTCCCCTTCCGGTTCTGGTGTTTACCTTGGTACCTTTCTGGTCAGTCAGAAGGAAGTAAAATGCAATCTGCTTCTGTTTCACAGTTGGAAGCACATTGAGACAATACAATTTCAAGTTGAATGGGACCTGCACCAACGAAATTACTGCATGCTTTCTGCTGATCTTGAATGGTGTTGGGAAATACTGGGCGTGACTTTGATCTATTTCCTAAATGCACAGACTAGTCATCTGCACATGGGTGGAGAGGCAAGAGGTTCTAGTTTCAGCCCAAACCAACTGTCTTAAGATGTGGGTGGCTGGAGGCTATTGTTTGCTTTTCTTACTGACGTGGAGACTATATACACTTAAGATTTTAAAGTGCTTTTTACATTTACTATTAATATTAGCAGTGCTTTACATTGCTTTCCCCCCCGTTTTCCCCATTTCTTTCCTTCTCCAGTTCATAATGGTAGGTTCCATGTGTTACAAGTCATATGATTCCGTGACACATGTATATGTGTATATATATGAGATGCCTGGTGACTTCACTCGGACTGCTCTGAACTTCCCTCTTCAGGAGCACTCATCATTTCAGAGAAGTTACCCGCCACTATGATGCCTGGGGGCTTATCTGAGACTAAGCCTGCTACTCCAGAAATCCAGCATATTGTTAACCAGGTGAGTTGCAACCTATCTAAAGATTAAGTCTCGGTGTGCTTTGCTGAGTCTCGAAGCTTATGCAAAGGCTGGGAGACGAGGTAGTGATACTGAACCAGTGTTTGAACTGAAGAAGCTAGTCCTGAAAATGGGAATCCCCTTGATTGCCAGTAAGTATTTTCTCATCGTTCTGCTTAGGCAGTGTACTGGTAAGACCGAGACAAACCACTTCTCTGTCTCATCCTTGTCCATAGCCAGGCATAGTACTGGCTACCTGCCGTTAATGTTTGCATGTAGTTCAAAGACCAGCTCTACTATGCCAGCACCGAGGTTGCTTGTTTGAAATTAAAGGTGGTGTATTTGAAGGGAGAAGATTGTACCTGGTAAATTAATTCCTCACTGAAGGACATATATAGGACAAACAGTGTGGTAGTATGCACTAAAAAATATACATACAGGACAAGGCTGTGGATAAACATCATGTACTCTGCTGGCATGTGATGTTTTCTAGAGTCGCAGCTGTGATGCAGGGGCTGCTGGTGAGCCAGTGGGGCAAGGTTTGCTTGGCACAAGGCAGGCAGGGTGAGTCCAGTTGCCATGGTGGTTGGTTACAGGCAGTGGTCCTGTCCTGGAAGCAGCTGTGTGAACAGTACCTCTGCAGATCCTCTAACACCGTGCAGTGCAGCAACTCCTTAGAAAAGCGCATCTTAAGGAGCAGGAGGGGAACAACATGGCACGGGAAAGTTCCTTTTGTGTCTACCATCCTGTGTTCCCAGCCATCCAGCCAATCCCCTTCACCCTCCCAGCTCTGCGAGGTGAGCTCTTCCCCCTTTGGCAATTGCACAAAGCATAATTTACACCTTCCTTAAGGAAACAAAAATAGGAAGTAGTGGGGCTGAACATGTTGGCCAATACTGCTGCACACTCCTGTGTGTGCAGGGCTCCCAGCTCCCTCCTTTGCTGTGCCACAGAAGACAGAGTTTGCACTGGCACCATTCCACATCTCCTGCGTGCTTGCAGGCTAAGACCAGGCAACGATGAAATCAGACTAAGGTGACCTGGGCTGTGCGTGCAGATGGGCAGAGCCACTAGGAGAGATCTGTAAATAGGCGGTGTAGGCTGGTGTCAGAGTCCAGTACCCTGACCAGGTTCTTTTAGATATTCCACGCGTGGAGGTATAATGTTTAATATTAAATTTACTTATTTGAAGATATTTGATATTACATGAGGTTTCTGATTTAGCATAGCGATACAGGTATATGGTAACACAATACTAATTATTGTAAAATATTGTAAATTACTCTTAGCAAAATACAGCAATTGCAATACACAGTTCACTCGCAACACCAATGTGGTCTCCATTATTGGTCTCTCTAATATGCTCGCTGTCACGATGCTGGGCATCCTCAGTCACCAGGAGGAGGTACCTGGGTTGAAGCCCGCTCAAGCCTGCTGTTCTCTTTGAAATTCTTTTGTTTGTTGTTTAGTTTTTATACTCTGTGTTGGGCAGAGCCACATATTCATCCCCCAACCCCTCCCACCCCCTGTGCTGGTCTGATTAACTCAGGGAGGCATTCACATTCTTCTAATGAACTCAGGGAATTACACCACCAGTTGATCCACTCGCCTGACATAGCCGTTTATCTAAAACAAACACCCTGTGTTTCTCTTTGTGTTGAGGTAAAGTCAGCTTCTTCAAAAAAGCTGCGGTCAGTCACAGCTTGCATTATTTTCTGAGTTTTGTAGGCACATCACCCTTGCCCAGGTCCTCTGAGCCTTCTTCCATTGTAGGGCTTTATGGGTTGGTCACAGCTGGGGTTGCCAGAGTTGGGCCTGGGTACATGGGAGAGGACTGGAGTATGTGCTGGGGAATGGCGGTAACAGGTTTCCAGAGGGGAGATAATTTACTGCAGAACAGAAAGAGAAAAGGATTATCTGAAATTGTTTGGGGGACACCAACTGAATAGCTCGGGAGCAGCATCATTGTTCATCCTATGCTGGCACAAGTAGTTGAAGGAGCAGCACTGGCAGAGATCGGAAATTCCCTTTTAGCTATGGAGAGGAGACCCTAGGCAAGGACTTGTGGCACCTTTGTATATTTGCAATTCTTATTTCCTCGTGTAAGGCAGGGAGGGCGATGTCTGCTGCCAGCTGGGGGCTGTGAAATTAGACTGTTGAGTCTGTGAAATACCTTAAGGGCCTCCTTTGCACGCTGCTAGGACAGTGTAGCATGCCTGATACATAAACATAGCTATGTTTTAATACCAGGCTGTGTTATGGGTGATCAAAAGATCCTACCTTATTGCAGTGTGTATCAAGAGAGGAAACCACAGTGCTTAACTGTCAGTGAGCTAACATGCACTTAAAAATGTGAACGTTCATTTCAGGCTGTGCTAATGCTCACAAAGTACAAGGCAAATATGGAATCTGAAATGCAGATGCACAGATTTTCTGTTTGATTCCTGAAGAGGGCTGATGTTAATTTTGGTATTCTTCCGTTCTTGGTAACTTCAGGAAAATGAAAACAAATTATTACTTGCTCTTTGTTTTCTGCAAAGTGAAATTTTTGTCTTGTGCTGAGTATGGGAGACGGAACTCTCCCTGGTCTTTTTCCCTTGAAAAAGCTCACCGTCCACTGCAGAGGCTTTGGTATAGTTCTCTAAGGAAAATATTCTTGTGGAGACAAACGTTGCATTGGGGCAATCCTGCACTGCTTCCAGCCAGATAATGGTGTCACCCTTTCATGATGCAATTCTGTGGGATTTTATGCTCTGCTAAGCAGAGAAGCAATTCATCTGATTTGAATGAAGCTGTGAAGATCACCTGCAGATCTTGGGATGGCCAAGGTCTGTCTGCTCTTGGGATTACATTGACTTGCCTTGTCTGTAGTCATCCTTAGTGAGCTCGGGAATGGTATTTTTTCAGTCTCCTTGTTTTACAGTTGTTGCCTAAAACTGAGGAATGTTTTGCGTTTAAGGAACTGTTAGATAAGGGCTTGGGAATGTTGTACCTTTCCATCTGAGGATTAAGGAGCCTGCCTGATTTTACTGAAGGCTCTGTCCATGAATAGTAAGTGGGGGATGTAGTGGTCAGAGGTTGGGAGAGATCATAAAACTGGAGAGAACTGGCTTTGTTTTGTTTTGTTCTGAGAGAGGAATAATATGTACCAAAAGTTGCCACTTAGGAGCATCCTAGGAGCCCTCAAACCCATCCAGCTGGAAGAGGGTTGGAAATTGAAGTTTCTCTGGTTTGCTAGAGTTAGCAGCTCCCAAGTTGAAAGTATAGCTGTCGGTTCCCAGGGATGGAAGCCCCGTGGAGGCTGCTTGGAAGAAAAGCAGAGTAAGAGATTATGAGGAGCCTGAATATGACAGGTTGAAGACATTGGATAATTTCTGACTGCTTGGAAATAGTTGATCTGGACATTACTAGGGTGCTTTCTGGGACCTGCCTGCTAGGAAGGAATGCCACGGGAGCAGTAGCCAGCTGTAGGCGGATGTAGTGAGAAAGCCAACTAATTCTGTGCGTTTCTGCGGAACAGGTGGGTGGTGAGAAGCACTGGCATGCTGCCGGCCCCTCCCAGGGACTGCCAGAGCAGGCTGCTGAGTGATGCTGTCCTCCTCTGCCTGACTTCTGGAGTGCCTCTGTTCTGCGCCCAGCCATCAGCATTGGCATCGTGTGCAGAGGAGAGGCTGTTACCCAGCCTGCAAACCATTGTTTATGCTTTCTAGATGACAGAACTAAGTTTTTGGGTTACGTTCGCTGCAGTTGCCTTTCTGTAGGGAATTCGTGTCATCAGATGCGAACGACTATAGTAAAACAGTGTTATACTAGTACATAAATCATGATGCCTCAGGCACCTGGCCAGACTTCCACTGCTGCTCACAGCTGTTTCCCCTGCTACTCCCCTGCCCTTTCAGCCTAGTAATTATACAACTATTTCATCTCCGAGAGGACAGTACCACTGTAATTGCTGCTGAACTTAAAAATTGCCATATATTTTGTGTGTTTCAGGAAAAACTGTTCCACCTTTTTTATTTATTTTTTTTAAATATATATGTGAAAAGCCTGTAGATATCTGAACTGTGCATTTTTTAAGATCCGCAGGGCTTAAACTGGGTACTGTGCATAAAGACATCTACCTGAGCTGTGAGTGTGAATGCTGTCAGCACAGAGGGTTGTTTCTTCTGGAACTACATTACCTGCAGCTACCTACATAATGAAGGACTGATGATGTTTATGCAGGTCTGGGGTTGATTTCTGGCTCACAGTTTCAAGGTCGTACTTCCAGATTTGGAGATGGAAGTACATAGATTAGTCCTGGACCATTGCCACTATTGCAGTTGTTTGTCTGTTGTATCGTTGTAGATGTTGAAGGGTGTATTTAGTTTAAATTACAGCTTTAGCTGCAGGGCTTCCACCAGCACTAGAATAGCTTTCAGGAGCTACTTTATCAGATGGTTGTCTCGATACTCTGAAAGAACCCTGTTTATTGCAAGTCCTTAAAGAAAAACTTTAAACAGATCAAGTGCAGCCCTGAGGCTGTGAAACACAACGGGGGTCCACAGCCTCCCAGGCTGACTGGCATGGGCACAGGTGTTCCAGGTGAGGGGGGCTGACTTGTACCACTGTGTAACAGCATGGTTGACATGGGATGCACCCAGCTAAGGGGCATGGCTTGGTACCTAGCTACTTTGATGAAGAATTAAAAGGGCAGCAGGTAGCAGTTTCCCTATACTGAGCAGGAGACAGTTTAGCTGGACAGCTTTCAGGGTGGGGGGGAAATCAACTAGGAAGTCTAATTCTAACAGGATTTTAAAGAATGCTGGAGGCAATGCTAGGAAAGAAGGCTGGAGGTCTTAGTGTAAATTTAATTATTTTGGGGGTTCTGGGTTTAATTCATTAAGGGTGTGTGTTTGAAAGGATGAAAATTGGAGTGGTAGATGTGAAAGAAAAGCCTATGTATGAACCTGCCAACCATTTTTCCTTTTCTTTTTACAGGTGAAGCAACAGTATGAAAGCAAGCAAGACAGGACATATGACATCTTTAAAGCCATAGTGTATAGGACTCAGGTGGTTGCTGGGATAAACTACTTTATTAAGGTCTGTATATATTATAGGAGGGAGTGCTTTGTAGTTAAACAATATAGGTGACTTGTATAGTGGCTTATAGTAAGAAAGAGAAGCAAATGTAGTAGAAAAGCATGTGATGTGACTAACAGAGTTAGGGACTATCTCCAGATGCTTATAAAATTCGTCTGGCACTACTGTAGAACAGGAATATAAAAACTTAAATGTGCAGTGTGCTGTTTCAGATGTGAATGAAACTTTCTTAGGATCATCTCACTCAAAGACTACAGATTGCCTTATCAGCTCAAATTATTTAAACTAGTCATAACTCTGCTCTTCTGTTTCCTTTCAAGGCAAAGTAGCTTTCCTGTTGCCTCTGTGTCTTCCAGTTGTGTTTAGTATGATGAATTCAAAGTCAGCCTGAGGATCTGATGGAGAGTTAGAGTGAATTTAATTTAATTCTAAAAAAATTTAATGCAAGCATCTCATACTTTGCTGACTAGTTTTGGTTCCGTGTCATGTGCTGCAGAGGTACAGCCTGCCTGCTAGTTCTTTCTATATTTTCAAAACCCCCTTTCTGTTACAGAAGAAAAAGGGGTAATACTTAATTTGGAGCCCTCCAATAGCACCATTCTTCCTCTACTAGAAAACCTTACCCATGGATTTGAGCAGCTTTCTGTGAAGTAACGCATAACAAATTGCTGAGCATGTTTTGCAAGTGAAGGCCAGAAAGCATTGCTTAGTGGCAGGCTGGCTTTCTGGAAATAGAGCAAACAGTGCATGTGACTGCTGTATCTTAAGCCCATATGTGTGCAGACATATAGCTGGTAGGATATGCTCCCTTGACAAAGGTCGGAATCTTTTTATTAAAGAAATTGGCAGGTAGGGTTTAGGGGATAGTAATTCTGCAGAGAGACATTATGAGCATTTGCTCCATGCTTCTGGTATTTAGTTGATCCCAGGAAGGAGAGACACTGCCAAACCTTCTTCTTCCCCAGGTCCTTCCTTAAAATAACGCTGAACAGTTATTTCTGCTCTGTGGGCACCAGGGGATTGTACTGACAGACTACCTATTTATATGGCTAGTCTGAGACTTACTTACATGTATGATGCTTATCCTTCCCTTGTTCCTGGAAGATGTGCTTATTTAGTTGATCCCAGGAAGGAGAGACACTGCCAAACCTTCTTCTTCCCCAGGTCCTTCCTTAAAATAACGCTGAACAGTTATTTCTGCTCTGTGGGCACCAGGGGATTGTACTGACAGACTACCTATTATATGGCTAGTCTGAGACTTACTTACATGAATGATGCTTATCCTTCCCTTGTTCCTGGGAGATGTGCTTTCACTTTGTGGACAAGGTACTGAGTAATGAAGAGTAACCATTTGCAGGAAGGCTGCAGTAGAGCCTGAAGTCACGCCCAGTTGCATTTCTTCTCTTAGTGCCATCTCACTGCTGACCTAGGCAACATAAAATACTTGTCTGCTGTCCATGCTAAGGCTCATGACCAAACTAGTCAGAAATGAAGACTGACCTGTTACCGAACTTGGAAGAATCCATTTAAAACACCTAGGCAACATAAAATACTTGTCTGCTGTCCATGCTAAGCCTCATGACCAAACTAGTCAGAAATGAAGACTGACCTGTTACTGAACTTGGAAGAATCCATTTAAAATACTGAAAACAGATGATATGTCCATTCTTTCCCAGTGTTGCAAGGAAGCAGTTAATTCATTTTAGCATTAACTGGAATGATCTCTGTTACAAGATTAATTTTTCATACATCTGCATTTTCCACATCGCTAGTATTTTACCAACAGATTTACAGCTGAGATGTAATCCAGACCAAGACAAACATAGTGCCATGTTGCAGCCACCGGAAAGCATGTAGAAACCTCTTGGAGCCTAAGGCATTAAACTTTCCCTTCATACGATATACCTCACACAGTGAGAGTGTAGCACCTGTTGTGCTTGGCTCCTTATGTATGAAATTAGGCACAACTTTGTAGCAAGTCTTTGTGTGAGGACTTTCCGGAGGGGAAGGTGAGTTTCTTTTAAAAATTATTTCAGCCACTCATACTCACTCCCACAAGCACCAAGATATGTCAAGTTGTCTGTTCAGGCACTGATGTATTTGTAGTAAGTCTGAAGACAAGGGATCCTGGCTTTCAGGTTGGCTTTTGCTTCTTAGGACCATGTGCCAGTTTTGGATAGATCTTTCTGTACCTTCTAGGAGCTGACACTGTCTCTGCATCTTGCCCCATCCCTGAGTCATTAAGATTTACTCATTGCCTCTTGTCTCCTACTCTGAGTGTCCCAAGAAGCTGTAAGTTGATGTGCTGGTATCTCAATGACCTAAATAGGATGCCACCAAAATTTTTCTCCTGTTGTGCCTTCTGGTGCTTCCACACCCAAGCAGTCCTACTCATTTTCCATTCACATGAGTCTGAAGATTTATATTACAGTTCTCTTCAGGTGCCACCAGTTACTATCCAGACTTGGGTTAAGAGCTGTTGGAGTAGAAATGGAGATACACCTAAAATTAAGCTCCTCAGCAAAGACATTCTTCCAAGTATGTAAAGAGCATCCTTTTGTTTGACCCTGCTTCGAACCCATGGTCCTCACTTTCCCACTGCTTTGGTTTCTAGGTCCAAGATGGCGATGATGACTATGTCCACTTAAGGGTGTTTCAGAGCCTTCCTCATGAGAACCAAGGTCCCAGCCTTGTCAGTTTTCAGTCTGGCAAGACCAGAGATGATCCTTTGACCTACTTCTGAGAGACAATGAGGAATGGTGCCTCACTTCTCCAAGCTGCATGTGCATTTTGCCTGTGTCAGTAAATGCATGGAAATAAAATAAATTTTGAAAGCAATTTGTTAATCTACTGTGTGTCATGTCTAGGTCTGCTGCCTGGCTAAAGCTCAGGTAGGCTTTGAATACTATTCAAGGCTGTTTCTGCCACCTGAGGTACTACAGTGGTAAGAGAGAGCACACCCATTTCAGGTCCTCTTTACAAAACGCGGTTAGGCATTGTCTGAAGACAAAACTTGGCCCTCCTCAGTATACTTCAGGCATAACAGGCTACATACTTCAGCATGTGGCTTCTTGGTTTTGCTTTAAGTGCATTAAATACAAGCTATTAGCTACTCCTCAGATCATTTCCAGCATGGGGGAACTGTGCCTCCCTCCAAATGCAGCTTCATTGTACAGGAGCAGGGTCGGGGCAGGAATGAGCTCTTTGAAGGAGGGGGAGGATGGGCCTGCTGCCACAGCTGAGAGAGCTGAATCCCAGCATTCAGCCCCTGGAGCAGGGAGCGACTGTCCTGACTTAGGGTGCTTTACTGGCAACCTGCAGAGCTCATTCCAATTTTTTTTTTTTTTTGGTAGCATCAGCCACCTGCAATGAGAGCAAGTCTTCAGCTGAGCTCTGTGGTGACAAAGGCAAGCCCAATCCACAACAAACTTTCCTGTTAGCAGCTGCTTTGCATTACCTGCCAGGGAGGTAATGAGCCAGACTTACTCCCTCCCTTTATTCCATATTGGAGGGGGGTGTGTGGGGGGGATTCTTTGGGCTGATACAAGCAGAAGCATGTAAGCACACCCCTAATAATCAGGAGACAGAACATGCTCCTTCTAAGCAATGCTGGTTACACACTCACACAGCACATGCCTGCAACAAAAAGCCCAGTAACATGCATGTAAGTTCACCATGCCCTCTCCTCTCAAAGCTGCTTGTCATTTCTTCAGTTTGTGGCCAAGGACATGCAGCAGTGTCAGCCAGAAGTAGGCTGTTACCCCCTCAGTTCAGAGTGCAGCAATCCCTGTCCAATTCCCAAATTAATTACACAAGGCAAACATCAACATTTCCAAGCTTGGCTACAAAATTTTCTGAGCAGGTATAAATAGTAATACTTGCACAAATTTAAAAAAAAAAAAAAAAAATCACAGACTGGTTGTAGTTGGAAGGGTCTGCTGGAGATCAGTGGTGGCCCTTCGCTGGACTCGCTCTGGTACATCCATGTCTGCCTTGTACTGGGGAGCCCAGAGCAGGAGACAGCACTCCAGCTGTGGTCTCATCAGTGATGAATGGGGGTGGGTGGGCAAGAATGGCCTCTTGATCTGCTGGCAGTGCTCTTTCTAACACAGCCCATGGCTACTGCTGGCCACCTTTGCTGCAAGGTGTCCAACAGGACAACGCATGGGCCCTTTTCTGCAGAGCTGCTTTCCAGCCACACAGGCCCATCCTGTACCGGTTATTCCTTCCCAGGTGCAGGACTGTCCATCTCCCTTCGCTGACAGCTGTGAGCTGCCCGGCTGCTCATTTCTGCAGCCTGTTGCCACCCCTCTGAACAGCAGCACAGCCATCTGGGCTATCAGCCACTCCTCTTGGTTTTCTGGCATTTGCAAACCCGCTGAGGGTGCGCTTAGTCCCATCATCCAGGTCATTAATGAAGATGTTACACCGTATTGGTCCCAATATTGACCCCTGGGATATATCACCAGGGACTGACCTCTAAACTGGACTATGTGCTGCTGAACTTGTTGAGCACAGCAGTTCAGCTAGTTTGCAGCCCACTTCTCCAGCACATACCTACTCAGTTTGTCTATGAGGATGTTATGGAAGACAGTATCAAAAGCCTTATTAAAGTCAAGGTAAATAACATCCACAGCTCTTCTCTCCTCTACCGAAGTATTTATCTCACTGTGGCAAGCTACCAATCATATTGATTAAGCATGATTTCCCCTTTGTAAATCCATGCTGACTACTTTCACTCACCTTCTTGTCTGTAATGTGTTTGGAAATGGCTTCCAGGATTATTTGCTCCATCACTTTTCCAGGGACTGGGGTGAGGCTGATGAGCCTGTAGTGCTCCAGATTCTCCTTCTTGCTCTTCTTGAACATACAAGTGCCATTTTGCTTTCTTCCAGTCCTCGGAACCTCCCCCCGACACCCATGACCTTTCAAAGGGTGTTGAGCATGGCCTTGAAGTGACATTGGCCAGCTCCCCAAGCATCCATGGATGCATCCCCTGGAGTGCCATGGCATGGTCCAAGTCCAGTTTGTTTAAGTGTTCCCCTAACCTGATCCAGCTCTGCTGAGGAAGTCTTCCTTTCTCCAGACTTGCCCACTCATCTCAGGGACCTCGACTTTCTGAAGGTGAGTCTGTTGCATCAAGAGGGCTTTGGAAGGTACCCAATTTATCGTTGTAAGTCCGGTCGCTTTCAGTGCATTGAACTATCATGATTACGGATGCACAAATAACATAGGCACCTTTTGTCTAGTCGTGTTGCATGAACTACCACGGCCACGCTTAAAGCGTCTGCTCACATTCAATGAGAACTATCACAGCTAGACCAATGAATCAAAGCAATTTATTAAAGCAACAGACAGACAGGTTCTTTGGATTACTGATGATAAAGTTCACTGACTGCAAGGCACATGCAAATACCAAAGCATGGGTAACACAGATGCATCAAAAGATATAAAGTGATTCTATATAGAGGTTTCTAAGCTTCCTGGGGAGGCACTTGGTATAACCAAGTGTTCAAATCTTACCCAAAGGCGTCCCGATGGGGGTGGGAAGAGAGGCTCAGCCTGTCGACTGACCCCAGAAGTCAGAGTAGTACGCAATGGTATCTTCCCTAACATCCCCTCTCTCTTAGGCTAATTTATACTATTTTTTACCTTTCAGGTGGAGCTTGAGTGACTCTAGTCATACATACTTTGTTATGATTGGTGTAAAACTTTCTCACTTCATTTTAAAGGTATAGGCTAGGAAAAATTCAAAGCACAAGCTCAGTGAGGAGTGGTCACACCTTAGAGGCGGGTAGGTTTTGGGATGGTGGTGTGTTTTGGTATTACAATGATATTATAATGACCAAAGTTTACCAAAGGGCAGCATTTTGTCAAAAACATGACAGGTTGTTGGCCCGGGGTCTCATATTATACCCTTTCCTATTGCCATTCTTCATTCACCCATCATTTGCCCAAGTTCTCACAGTGTTCCTTTATACTGCACTCTGTTCCTTTGGTAAGTGCATCTACAATAAATTGTTTGCCATGTTCTGGCACAGTCAGGACTATACAGGGACTAAAAGCAGCAGCAATAAGGTGACAAATGCTTCGTCTTTTCATGTCCGTAGATAGACCAAGTCTCCGGGCTTGATGCAGTGTACTGGGGAATCCAAGGGCACAGGAGCTGCCCCGGCTGGGCAGAATGCTTCACAGCAGTCCCGTCCGGGGTGCCACACAGAGCCTGGCTGCAGGGTCTCCACACCGCTCCACCCTCCGGGCAGTTCCTCTTAGAGCCAACACACCAAGTTCCCCTGGTGTTGCCAACGCCTAAGGTTGCAGGCCCAGGGAACTTCTGTGAAATGGATTCCTTGCATGCCAGCTGCACTCCACCCTGGAGGCTTCTTCAGTGCTGTGCCGTTCCTAAAATTGTGAATCTAAGTTCAATCTCTAAATCACCTCTAGCAATTACTCCACAGAGTCCTACCAGTAAAGGCTGAGATGAAGGCAGCACTGAGTGCCTCAGCTATTTCTGTGTCCTCTGTCAGCAGGTCCCCTGCTCCACTGAGCACAGGGGGCCCATGTTTTCCTTAGCGTTCCTTTTGCTGCCGATACACCTGAAGAAGCCTTTCTTGTTCCTCACCGGATTAAAATAAAATATTTCTAATTAAAACATAGAATAAACATAAGGTTGTCTGGAATATGAAAAACCACTCATGGAAAAAAAACCTCTGAGCAACGTAACCAACATTGAAAACCAGTAAAGAGAACAGTGAAACACCAGTCAAATATGCCATCTCAATAGAAATATTTATTGTTATTAATGCAGAAATGCTTGTCCAGCTTAAGTTCCTTTCCACAACTTTTCCTTAGAACTGAGAAAATAAGCAAGTTAGGGGTTTTTTTAAACTCATACACCCTCTACTGGACATTATATCCTACTGCTGCATGAGGATAAACACGATAACTAAGGGAATGTTTGTTTCAAAAGACTAATCCTCCTCGTTCTCCTGCTTTCAAAATCGCTTCAGCTCAAGTCTCTCTTCAGGTCTTTGCCAATAAAATACATAGTACAATTTAAATCTACAGATATATTCACAGTTGCAAAAGAGCATTAGAAAAGATTCAGGTTTTCCTCTTGCTCCTTGCTGTAAATACATGAGTGTTGCTCCCCTTTCAACTTCCAGACCAAGGAAGTCCACAAACAGGATTCAGCCACAGTATTCTGGTTAAGCTGCACTGAAGTCAGTGCAGCTACTTGGGTTTGCACTAGTGTAGGTGAAAGGAGAGCCATATGACTCTAAAATTTAGATATTGCACAGGGAGGGAATGGCATAAAAGCAATTGATTTTTTGCCAGCATTAAGTTTAAAAAAAAAAAACAACTTTCTTTTCCCCTTCATTGGCACAGGAATCAACATTTTGCAGCCTATAGAAAATGCACGTATGAAACCATTAGGCAAATGCACAAGATAAGCTTGCTAGAAAAAAGCCAGTTCATCCTGCTTAGTCTTGCTGCTCTGGTAACTGTGGAGACTCAGCGGCTTATTCTCGTGAGGAAGGCTTCTGAACACCCGCAGGTGCACAAACTCATCGTTGCCAACATGGACCTGCAAAGCATGAAAACCAGTGAGTTCCATGGAGTTACAGCAGCCTTCAGCAGG